TGTTTGATCATTCCCAACATTCCTGCTTCGGTTTATAAACACACAGCGGATTTCTGGTGGACGCTCAGACATGTAAATCTGAGAAGGACGGAGGAAGGTTCTTTGCATCTCCCGCTTTTTCCTGTCGTCTAGTTTTATGTTTTTGTCTACGACTTCTTGCACGATTACTGAAATTGAAAATCACGTTATTATAGTTATAGTACATATTTTGTTAACTTATCTTTTTGCTCCTCCAGTAGGCATCACATTTGTGATTTTATAGCAAAAGAATTTCCGTTCATAAAGTTTTTATTTATCTCCTCTCTTACCTTATACACCAGTAATCCTTGATCATGTCTGAATTAAGGCTACTTATCAAAAGAATTCCTCTAAATCTTTAGTTTCTTCGAGGGCTACAACTGGCTTTTATTTTTATTTTTTAATTAACAGTGGATGAAGCGATAAGGTGTAGACTGTATGAATAACTAAATTTCACCATCAGTTAGCTTGGTTCAGTGGTTTTGGCCTCCTACTTTATTGTTTTGATTCAATCTCACCGCTCTCATCATCACCACGGCAGCAGCAGACAGATGTTGGCGAAAAAGATCAGTTGGCAACTAGCAGGTGAAGGTAGTGGAGAATTCAGCCACATCTTTGGCTTCAGCAGATCAATAAAAGTGCTAAATTTTGTGATTTCAATCCAATTTTATTTGTATAGTTTACAGCATATGTCATCACACAGCGCTTAACAAAGTCAGGTATAGACGTTACAAATTTAAACAGAGAACCCGACAATCCAAAGTAGGCTTTGGACTCCTTCTGATCAACCGGTTGGCAACAGTGGGAAGGAACCAAACCCCGACCTCCGGCAGAACCAGGCTCTGGGAGAGCGACCATCTGCCTCGACCGGTTGGGTGAGAGTGGGGATGAAGGGGGGAAAACAGAATAGTAGATGGAGAGCAAGCAGTAGAACGGAACAATAAATATGAAATATTTTGGGGGTCAGTGAGGCCAGAGGCTGCAGGTCAGAGACGTGAAGCTCCGGATCCAGAGACGTCCGCAGAGAGAACAAGCATTTCTGTATGCTAACATGTTCACTGCAGCAACTTTACTGCATCAGTCGTGTCTCTCAAGTCAAAACAATCAAGAGTAACTTTTATTGATCAAATTTGTTAAAAGGAGAAATTCAGAGTGTCAGTTTTCAGACCCTCAGGAGATTATTTTGAAGTGCTTATTCAGACAAAACAGCTTTAAAAGTACAGAAATAATTGATTTTTACTTGATGACAACTTACACAATTATTCCATCCTGGAAATTCCCCCTGATCGATCGTGATCATTGACTGATCGATTCATTGACTAGTTGTTTCGGCTCTCATTTCACGAGAGCAAAGCTTTCAGTGCACCCTCGGGTGGTCTGGTAATGAGCTGCCATTAGCACCTAATCAGATCATTATCCAGGCTGCTGCCTCGCTCTGCCACGCTCGCTGTGTTCTTACCTTTCAGTGCAGTCGGACAGGAGCTCGTCTGCGTGCTCATCAGCGTGTTGTAAATACGTCTCAGCAGGTCCAGGTCTGTCTGAAGCAGGTGGGAGTGACCCCGCACGTCTCATTCAGACACAGGAATTACCGGTGACATGTGACCTTTCTTAGACCGAGCGGTTACCGGGCCAATCCTGGAAGCAGCCTGGAGTCCTGCAGCGGCCCGTCTGTTGTGATGATGTAAGACTCAGGCGTGCTCCGCTGCGAGAGCTTCATGCATGATTTGTCACCATTACAGTCATCGTAGTGACTATCAATACTGGCACTTGTGGGTTTTTTCAATCCAGCATTAACTGCGTTGTAGCAGTTTGCAGCATGTGGGAGACAATATTTTCACTTTACACTCCCCTTCTCCATTTACATGACGGGGTTGTTAAAGCGAGCGGGGAGAGGAAATGCGTTTGTTTTAGCAAGGAGCTTTCAGCAGCTGTCTTGAGGGAGCAGCGCTGAGAGGTGAAATGTTTGACGGAGGCAGAGCGAACGAGTCCACGCGTCGCTCCCTTTTAATTTTATTTTTTTTGTAATATTCACGTCTTAACCTTAATGCCAGAGTTCAATCATGTAGCCTTTGGGTGGCTCCCAGACTTGACAGAGATTAAAGAATAGCAGGATGAGGTAAAGTGCCTTCACTCGGCTGAATATCTCTCCAGAGCCCGAGGAAGCCGAGTCTGCAGCGAACTGCAGCGATCGACTCGAGACAGAGTTAGAACAAAAGAAGTAAATAGACTAATGGGGGGAAGATTTGATAGAACAGTGTGTGTGTTTATGTGTTTATAGCAGTCGTCATATTCAGATTGTATTCGTGTGTTGGCTCGGCACACTGCAGGGTACTGAGGCAGTTAAGTAACAGCGGGCCAAAGCACAGTCGATGTGGATGCTCTGTTCTTTGTTGTTCAGCAGCTACCACTTTTGCTTGGTTGTGGTAACACAGACAGCGTTACATAATGCAGCATTTGTCATGATACCTGCCATTTGGTGTATGTATTACGTTATCTCTGCTCTCTGCCTTTTCTTTTGTCTTGCTGGGTTTTTTTTCTCTCCACATATTTTTTCTCTTTTTTTAAGTAACGAATTAAGAACAATAAAAAAAGAAGCATTGGATAAATTATGTCAAAAGACAAAGAAAACTACTTGTAGGATGCTTGTTATGTGTTAGAGTTTACAGAATGTGTTTTATATTTGAGGGGCTGGTGAAGTATTGTGGGGAAGTGGTTTCTCTCCAGGGTTGCAAGGTGGATCAGTGGCTAGTACCGTCGCCTCACAGCTAGAAGGTCGCCGGTTCGCGTCCCGGTGAGGTCATCAGGGATCTTTCTACGTGGAGTTTGCATGTTGCATGTTCAGCATGGGTTCTCTCCGGGGTCTCCGGCTTCCTCCCACAAGGTCCAAACACATGTTGAGGTTAACTGGTGATTCTAAATTGTCTGTAGGTGTGAATGTGAGTGTGCTTGGTTGTCTGTCTCTAAGTGTAGCCCTGTGATAGACTGGTTACCTGTCCAGGTGAACCTGCCTTCACCCTGAGTCAGCTGGGATAGACTCCAGCCCCCATGACCGTAGTGGGGATTAAGCGGTGTATAGATGATGGATGGATGGATTTCCCGCTAGATTTTTTATCAAACAGATTTTCCGAGGAGCTATAAATAATGTTTCTGGAAGTGGCGATCGGTCGGTCAGTCCACCACTGTGGTACACACTAGAATATCTCAACAGTTATTGGTGCGATTGCCATATTATTTTGTGCCATTTAAGGTCGGAGTTTGGTGGTATTTCCTTGGATGTTACCAGAAGGTCAAAGACTCCACTTTTCCCCTGAAGCCAACCGTAACAGGAGTCCACATCTGCTTGTTATCGCTTGTCAGTGTTTTCATACCTGTGACAGAATTTTTCATGTCAAAGCGACAACAATGTCAATTAATTAAACATATTAACAGTAATATAAGTAATTACACGAGTACTCACCTGTTTAAGATGCACTTTTGACCGCAATCACAGAATCGTGCATCTCAGATCTGAAGTCTCGGCGTTACACATCTGGATACTGTAGTTTTATCCCAGTCTTCATTGCAAACCTGCTCAACCTCTGTCAGGTCACACCAATTCTCAGTTGGATTGAAGTCACTTCAGAACATTTATCTTGTTGTCTTCTAACCATTTCTGTGTAGCTTTGACTGTATCCTTCAGGTTATTGTCTCCCAAGTTGAAGTTCTTGCAGACTTCATCAGATGTTCCTTCAGGCTTCCCTTTACTTTACAATTCATGCTCCACCTTTACAAGCCTTCCAGGACCTGCTGCCAAGAAGCATTCCCACATCATGATGCTGCCACCACCATGCTTCACAGTGGGAAGATGTTTGGTGTCCATCAAACATGGCTTCTGCTCTGATGGCCAAGAAGCTTAATTTTGGACTTATCAGACCAAAGAACCTTCTTCCTTTGACTTACAGAGAACAAGCAACGAGTTGTTGTATGAACAGCCACAGCTGGTAGCTCCTTCAGAGGAGTCATAGGTGTCTTGGTGGCCTCCCTCACTGCTCTCTTTCCTGCACAGTCACTCAGGTTTTGAGGACAACCTGCTCGAGGCAGATCTCCCCATGCGCAATATTACTTCCATTCCTTAATGTTCAGTCTGACTGTACTCTGAGGGAAATGTTCTTGCATCCATCCTCTGACTTATGCTTTTCAATAACCTTTTCTCAGAGTTGCTTGGAGTGTTCTTTAGTCTTCATGGTGCAGTTATAACCAGGAGTACTGATTCACCAGTGGCTGGACCTTACGGATGTCTTCATGCTACAATCACTTGAGACACATTCACTGAACTCAGATGATCTCCGTTTCGGTAACTCTGACTTCTAGCGCTAACTGGCTGCACCTGTGTCGACTTCTTGTTAATTCTTCTCAAAAAAACTAATTAAATTGGCTGTTATTTAATGTTAATACTTTTATAGGTGCTGTATGTGTTCAACATTCAATCAAGAGGACAAAAGAGATAATTCTGAACATGTCTTTAAGTTTTTGGGATTCTTTTTGTTTTGTGCACAACGAAATCAAATTTTTTTTTTTATAGGCACCATGCAAAGCTGGTGAGTAGGTGGGAAGGTGGCAGCTCTTTTGTCAGGGAAACATGGCAGGTGGTCGGTCATTTCAAAGTTGCTGTCTAACTTGTACCTTCCTTGTCAGACTCTCACCGACCAGAGGGACGTCGTCCACAGCTGTCGCAGCAGCAGAAGTGACAAACATCTCTGGCAGGCCGGTGCTGAGCAGCGAGCACACTGACGACATTTCTCCTCCTCAGCTGAATATTTTCTCACTAACGACAACACGATGTACAGATTACACTTAAAACTGGACGACCCCCGTTTGTGGTGTTTTCACTGATACTCAACATTTTTCTTAAACGAGGTGTAAAAGACAGAAGATCTTCCGGAGACGCTGTGTACTTCATTTATCTGGATTATAACACTTTGCTTTCTCGTTCCCACTCTCAGGTGAAAGCTCTCACCCTGTTTGTAACCCATTATCCTCCTCTGTGTGAGCTGGAGCGACTGTATCCTGAGCATGTGTCTAACTACCACATGGCTTTCTTGCTTAATGAACCCGACATCGCTGCTGACGGTGAGTGTGCATATAGGAAGAGGCTCTCGTACAAGTAGAGCGTACATTCAGAACATTCTTGCATAAACTTGTTGACGTTGTAATGTGTGTATTTGTGCATGCTAACAGATGAGGAGATTCAGCCGGAGTTCATCACCTTCCTCTACCAGCTGACTGGAGGAGCTGCAGGACGGAGCTACGGCCTGAATGTCGCCCGACTGGCCGACATCCCCGATCCGATACTGCACACTGCCGCTCGCAAAGCCCGAGAGCTGGAGAGCATGGTCAATGCCAGGAGGTAGCGCTCGTGTTCACCCTGACTGTTTGTTAAAGAGAGGATTTCACTCATCAAGAGAAGTTTACTGGTCATAAGGAGTCAGTCTGTGAATATATTTCTGTAATGTCTGCCGAGGTTCTGGAATTAGTTTTTCAAAGTCTGGGAAAGTAGCTGATGATTTATTCAGGTGTGTCTCCGTTTGATCTGAGAGATGAAAAGACATTAGAGGAGCAAACCTGCCTCACTAACTTTAGGTAACGTTTAGGTGTCAGCTTTAAAACAAGAGCTTTTAGAGGTTTGGGTGTTTTGCTTTTGGCGCCAGTGACACAACAAATTCAATGCGGATCCACAAATGGTGAAGCTTATCAGACACCGAACCGCTGTGCAGCGATTCTCTGACAGGATTACACGCAGGAGCACAACTCTGGAACGTCACAGTTGATGTTTTCTTCACCGTGATAGTTGGGAGGTAGAAAGATTCCTTTTATGTTAAAAGTAATCAATCATGGGTTTAATTAATACAGATGTTTTCTTAGAAACTCTCAAATTGGGGAAGAAGTTGAGCCTGCTTTCATTTTTTTCACAGATAGCCCTAATGTTTGCACCCACATTGTGTTATAGGATGAGTGGGCTGGATGTTTATTGATGTTTACACTGTAGTTGCATTATGGG